TTTGCTGTGAAGGTCCTGGAGCCTTTCCCAACTTTGCTTCCTGAATTGCCATATCTATTTCTTCCTTCTTTATTGTGCCATTCAACATCTTTTTAAATTCTTCTGAAACTTTTTCCAAAATGTGAAACTCAGTCCTTGCGGTATCTCCCATCTGTACTTTATTTTCAATTGCCTCAACTTGTCTGTCAACTTTTAAAAAATTTTACGATCCTGCAAAATTGCTCTTGGCAATTCTTTCATTACCATTATCTTTTTATCATCCATTTCAAATGGTTCAGTAAATTGTTTTTTCAAAATCAACTCTTTCATTCTTTTAGTTAGCAACTGAACCACCACATCTCCTGGTAAGTTTTTCTGTTGCGCATATGCTGATTTCACCCTATAAATCAAGTCAAAACTGTACTCTATGTCATCTACATCATCCTTAAGGTATTCCGCAAAGGCACCAATCACTCTACTCCTTATATTGTCATCCAGTTGTTCTTCAATTCCTCTTAACCTCAGGTGAGTCTGCATAGCTTTATAGTCCATCATTATGTCCAATCTTTTGGTATCCTTTACTACTACGTTTATAGTAACATCTTGCATTTTTTGCTCTATTTCAGAAGACTTCTGTGACAAATTTTGAAACTCTTTTTTCAGTTCTCCTACTTCTTTTTCCATTTTTTCTCCCATTTCTCCCACTTCGTTCTTGAGCTCGGCCACTTCTGACACTATTAGATCTTTCATCTGCCTTCCCATTTCCTGTATTGCATCAGTCATTCTTTGTTCCATAGCTTCCATGGCTGCCTGCAACTCTTTATCCTTTATGGTGGTCATTTTAGGTGTTGAGAAGGACGCAGCTCTCTGTCTCAGCCTCGGTTCCGTTGTTGTTCTCTTTCAATTCCAGCTTATAGGGATCAATAGTCCTCTTTATGCTTACTCAAACTGCCGTATTTTCGCTTTTCTAAGTCAAGCCGTTTCTTTTAAAATTAACTTTTAAGTTTGTTCCTCTTCAAAATGGCGATCACGAAGACTCTATGGTTTTAAAGCCTAGAGTAGGCCTTTCAAGCCTACTTCCTGTCCAACTTTTAATTCTGTCTTCTCCCAACTTCCAGTCTGTCTCCTTTTCTGTCCCCCGTCGTCTTCCGGTGTAACACTTTCCTGTCCCCCGTCGTCCTTCCAGTACGCCGCTGTTCTGTCCTCCCGACTTCCTTCCGGTACACAGCTTTTCTTGTCCGTCGTCTTCCGGCCCTCCTTCTCACTCCGATCTCCTTCCGGTTCTCAGCTATCTTCCACACAGAAACTCTTCTTGCACCGCATCACACCCACCTCGCACACCAAGCTCTCGCAATGCTATGTATGAGTTTCGGAGCGCTATCTCTTTAGTCGCCACAGGAATGCACAACAAAGTTTTTGTTTCTCTTTTTTCTTCTCTCTTGTATACTTTTCAAAATTTCTTTTTGCTCACTCTTTTTTAACAGTCTTTTAATACTTATCCAGATATCTTAATTAACTTCCCCAAGCTTCACCCGGTAAGTAATATACTTTTAGTTACCTTGTTTGTTTATTCTGGTTTTCGCACTGTTTCTTTCGATCCAAAGTTCTTTCCCCTAGTCCATGGGATCGGGTAATGGCGGTTTTAAGCTGAATTCTCAGCTCGGTGGTCTCCTGTAGTGCTGGATGCAACACCCACTTCAGGAAAGGAGATCAAAGCGTAAAAACAAGCCCCCTCCTAGGCTTGTTCACGCCAATCTCAACTCCCCCTTGGAACTTGTTGCTTGCTAGACACTTCCCCTCTCTGAGGAAGGTTGCGTTGGGCTGATTGATAGCCCAAACTGTCAGAAGGAGCCCCCGTCCACCCTGCACGATCGCAAGGTGCGTCAAATCGCCATTTTCCCCTGACCGGAAGCCCCCACTGCAATTTCTTGTGGGTGATGAAACTCTTCAGCATCCTGAACACATTTTCTCCACAAGTAGTCTTGGTCAGCAATTCAGAAAACAGATAATCGTCCTTCAGAGAATCACCTTTCAGATACTGAGCATAAACAAGCAATTGTGTGCATGAAGTAAGGTCTGTTGATTCATGCAACTGAAGCATGAAGTAGGAACTTGTTTTAATTTCTGCTGCTTGACCCAAGTTGTTGTCTTTGCTCATTTCAAAGGTTTGGACTGGTGTGGAAGTGTGTGGCTGCTCAACAGGCTTATCTACATTTGGGGAGGGGAAGGAAACTCAAATGAAAGAATGTTTATTGAGGATGACAGCACATGCAGTAAAAATTTATTAGAATCATTTCAGCTTATTACAATCTCATCCCACACAAAAAAGACCTAATCCCCCTCAGTTATGAAACAAGATATTTCAGTATGAATTTTGATTGCTTTTCCTTATTAAAGACAGATTGACCTTACAATGAATAACGGCAATGTTTTATCTTACTTGGAATGATCACACTTGATTTTTAAAGGCTTATGCAGGTTTTAATCATGACTTTAATCATAACTATAACATGGGTTATATTGAATAGCAACATTACAACCAGACTTAACACCTCAGACATAAAAGGAAGCACACATCTCGACTTACCTTTTCAAGTTTCTTCCTCTATTAATGAACTTTCTTCCTCTGTTAATGAACATATTCAAAGAACAGTTTCAAAGCAAACCAGTTTCAGCTTCACAGTGCCTAGAATATTTACATACTTGTTTCATTGATTCTCATACCAAATGTTACTTTAACTGATTTATTTTGGAATACAAACTCTGGTTCAAAAAAGGGTATTTATTTAAACAGTTTTTACAGAGAGAGGTCACCCAGACTTCCCCCAAAGCAGATTTCCAACAGGTGTATCTGCTTGCATAACTTAATTTTCCCTGATATACAACTTTTGAGCATCACACATACTTTTAATTTTATTTTTCTTCCAGCCCCTTCTCACCTCAAGCATATGAAAGTAGGAAAGCTACGAACATTTTTATTAGGGGGGGTTGGGAGTCTAGCTATGAGTGATGGCTCTACACATGTATTTCTGCTGTGTACAAATGTGATAGTTTAAAATAGTACTTTATTCATTCGGCTGAAATGACACACAGTCTATGTATAGTTAATAGATTTGACCTAGCGAGCTATACTGATGTTACAAAAATGCTCAGCAGTTTCTATACTCAGTCCAAAGTGACTATGAAAATCCATACCAGTTTGACATTTTCCCAGCAGTTCCCTCCGATTCCCCTTTCCATCAGTTTAAAGACATATCTGAAGATTCAGTAGGAAATTATTTTGCTTCTTGTGGGATACAAAGAGTGCCTTGTTATCTATGGAGCAACTCTACCACAGTCAGACAGAAGGTAAATAATTTGTTACACAAGATTATCAGCTGTCTTCTGTTCTGAAAAGTGATTAGTTCTCATAATAACAGACAGCGACTGTCCGGCAGAGTTAGATATACCAAAACTAATTTATTCTAATAGGACTGAAGTGCATGATTGTGGTCAACATGTCTTTGGTAACACTTGGCCTGAAGGGGGCAGGTTTGAGAATTTTAACACAATAGCCTGCCCTGTACAATTTAAAATGGATTAAGTTCATTTAGTTTGGGGCATTGTAAGGATTGTTATAAGATATTCAGTCCAAGATATCAGATCAACATGACAATCCTAAACTGACTGACTTCAATGGAATTCTGTTTAGGATTGTGTTGAAAAATCTGTTAAAACACTGTTTCCTTATTGTGTCAGCATATTTCACTGAAGTGGCAAGAGACAGGTGTGTTTGAAGTGTTTTTTTTTTAGGGATATAAAAATGTTGATATTGGGCTACAGGAAGAAAACTGCATACATTTCAACCAAAGTGGTACAGAATATTTTAATACCTTTAAACATGGCATGAACCACTGGAGAAAAGAGATTATAAAAATGAAGACTGTGAAAGATGGAAGATATTTCATATCCTTATCAGTGCCTTAGTTAATAAGGTTTAGTTCAACGTTATGCTTTTGCAAAAGAGCCTGGGGATTGTGTTTTTAAATCTTTTCAAGTAGTGCTTTGTACAACACTATGTGCTTTCTATTCTTCTCCCACACTGTTCTGTCACAGAGTATACCCAGCAGCCGTAATACTACCTAATAAATGGGGCTAACAGCCTCTGTAAAATTACTATAAAATGAACAAGACCCCCCTCCCCCTTCAGAACTAGGAGCACAAGAATTTCCATATGTTTTCTCTTCATTTTCGGATGACGAGAAAGCACATGGGGAAGCTGAGCTGCAGATGCTGCTAATGCAGCTACTTCTGTTACCAATGGCATTCAGACTGACAGCTCTTCGTGCGAAACCAACAACTGTACTCCATGGCTCTGGAATAGGACACTGGCAACGGCAGCTTCCCCCCCCCCATCTCCGCAGAGACAACAGCAGCCACCCGCCTTGCTACCAGCCCAACACTAACGGGCGTTTCTCCAGGATCCACCACTTAAACTGCAGGGACTGAAGTTGAGAATCACACCTCTGGAGACACGTGCAGTGTTTCCCAGCTCTGAGTCTTGGGTCCAAAACTCTTTTGTTTCCTTCAGCCAGCTTGCAACGAGATCGGCATGGAAGTGCTCCCAAAGTCGCCTGCTGAGCAGATCATTATTCAAAAGGAGAAAGCTGGAAAGGGCAACAGCCGAATGGTGAAGCACCAATCTCCAGAGCCATCAACATCCTCCTCCAAGGAATCGAAATATGTGGAGATTTATGATTTCCCTGGAGAGAGAGAAGAGAGTCCTCAGACTCTAGAACTGACTTTGGCAGGGAATGGAAGTAAAGTGGCCTTTATCAGACCTAAAAATGGATCTTGTGGGATCAGTGAGGTTAACAGATTGGCTAACAATATACTGGCAGACAAATCTGCAAATCAAGCATCCCAGGACTATAAATTTAAAATGCAAGGCACTCCTTCCCCCCTGGGAACGAAGGCTGATGAGGTGGGGGGAAGCATCACTGGCACCAGCCCAGGAGGGTCTAATGAGAACACTTTGTCCCCTAGTATTTCCAACATTCAGCTTTACACAAACGGCTGTCCAGAATCATCCTCATCCTCTTGTCCTTCACCAGTACAAACAACAGGCAGCTTTCCAAAAATGGATGACATGGGAACTGAGGGGAAAACCTCCTCTTCTTCATTTGGATATGAAAGCGATGAGGAGGAGGATGCAGACTGTAAAGAAATCTGCCTCAGTAACCGGAGAGGTGGGTGCAGGCATGCTTCGCAACTGCTGCAGTCGCAACACAGCTACACCAGTGAAACCAATAGTAACAATAATGATGAAGCACATTATATCACAACCCATGAAATCCAGCTTAGTGAAGTAGACCATGACATGGACTTTGATTATGGATTAGCCTCCCGATGGGACTTTGAGGACAACAATGTAATTTATTCCTTTGTGGATTATGCTTCCTTTGGGAGTGAAGACACCCTTGCAGACACGCAGACGGAAGAGGACAATAGCTGTTACCTCAGCACGACCACCAGTGATCCTAATAATCAGACAGACAGTATTGATAATACCAGCAGTACAGAGATAGTCAGCATTAATTCTGAAAATGATACCCCTAGCACAGACAAATGCGCCAGCTCGGAAGAAAATCAGTCCAAGAACCTCAGCAACATGAGTGAGAATTCTGCAGGCCAGATACTCCTATCAATCAAACCAACTTCCAGGGCTATAAATGAGCCTAGCAACCAGCACGAAAAGCAAAACATTATTTATGCTGCCAAGCATGAAGGCGACATGAGCGTCTGTGTCTCCACAGCTCATGAACGAAATACAAGTTTAAAACAAGATGTGTTTCATGACTATGCAAAAAAATTCATTGCAGTACCTGCACGCTTGCAGACAAAGTGTGGAGCCATAAGGGCAAGGGAACTGGGAGGCTATTCAAGCGGTGCTTCCAGTGTGGTGAGTGAACTGGACGATGCAGACAAAGAAGTAAGGAGCCTGACCGCAAGGGCGTTCCGGAGCTTAGCTTATCCCTACTTTGATACCCTGAACCTGAGCTCCAGTGAATCCTCTACATCACTTTCAGATCATACCTTGGGAATCAACCGGTGGTCAACTTACTTGGACTTAAAGTGTGGCGGCCTTGGGCAGAAAGCAGAACAGCATTTCAAAAGCAGCACAGCTTCTGCTGGATGGAACAAAAGCACCGGGGCAAAGACATCCAGCGACCAGTTCTACATTCACTCCAATAAGTCGCAGACGAAAGCATTAGAGTTTGTTGTCAGCAAGCTTGATGGGGAAATAGCGCATGTTGAGACGCCACCTTGCTTTGAAAAACGGATACAGTCAGGCTCCCGGGTTGTTACTTTGTTGGAGACTTTGAATTTCAGCAGCAATATTAATGCGGGTGTCCCCAGACCTGCTAAACCTTTGGAAAATGCTGCTGCTGGATCAGGTTGCACAGATGAGATTACAGAAACACTGCCAAAGGAGCTGGGCAATGAAGCTTGCAAACAAACTGGGCTGGCTGCAGAAACCATGGAAGGCACGCAGAAGAAGTCAAAATTTGCCTCCAGCCTCCTCAAAAATGTTATCTCAAAGAAAATGCAACTGGAGCATGAGTTCAAAATGGAAAGGGGAGAGATCACAGACAACACATATTCTGGTATGTCCAACTCTTTATCTTATAAAGAGGTGGATGCCACCTCCAAAGAGAAATTAAGGGATGGGGGTTTGCAGAGACAGAATTCTAGGTATTCAGAGGGTAGCTCTGACTACACTATTGTAACAGCCGATGATTTGGGAGAGTTTTTTGAAAGCAAGTCCCCTACCTCCAAGCGGTCTACTCCCCGGGAGGGAAATATTAGCCTGGAACGATCCATTTCAGAGACACACTTGGAAGAGGCGTGCAAAATAAAAGAGAGTGCTTCTGAAATTCTCAAGGCAACTTTCCTTCGTAGCCAGAACAGTGCGTTTAGAACATGGAAAGAAAAAGAAGCAGGAAAAAAAGAGGAGAACGCGCTGGTGGGGAAACTGAAAACTTCACCCAAAAGTGACTGGAAGGCTGATTTAGGAGAAATCTCAGCCAGCAAGTCAACTAAAATGTCTCGCCTCTTTGTCCCAAATATTCAACAAACAAGCAAAGAAAAGCAACCCAGCAAACAGGTGACAAAATATTCTACAGAAACCAGGGCAGAAGCTCAGACTGCCACTGCCACCACGATGATTAAGCCCAAAGCTCCTGAAATCAAGATCAGTTTGGGTAGTGTGCAACAGAACAAAGACCATCCTTTCAATATCGCTAAGCTCCTCACACCTAAGATAGCTGGAAATGTCCCAAACTTTTTCAAGGCAGCTGAAGATACCAGATGCCAGCCACAAAAACAACTCAAAGGTGAGGGTGTGGATAAAGTGCCCCAGTTCCTGGTTCGCGATGTAAGAGAAAGCAAGCCCAAGATCCAGGGGCCTATACATCAGGTAAGAGATGTCAGAAAGCTAATCAAAAGTAACTACGGCCATGAGTCTGCTGATAACAGTGACAGAGGCAGTGTCAACTCTGATCAGGGAACCTCTGAACAGAAACCCAAGCAGCTGGTGACAGCCGGCATTCCCAGGCCTCTGTCTCCCATGGTGATAACTTGTCAGGCCGTAAGCAACAGCAAGGAGGACAAGAGGTCCAGCAAGACTACGGAGACGGGGGCCAAAGCAAGCAGCGGAGGCAAGATGCTGCCTTCCAGCCCAGAGGGGACAATCCTGGTGCACAGGACCTCAGGGAGGCTGCCCGTGGCTACCATCGCTCCAAACAAGAGTGACCCTCGTCAGCCCGCTGTGCTGAAGATAGTCTCCAAAACATCTGTGCCCTGGAGGCAGCAACCACAGCCTCCACTACAGCCGCAGCCTACAACAGCAGCTGAAAAAAGCAGCAAGGTAGGGCAATTGGTGGTAGCCGGGGAAGAGGAACTTTCCCGGGATGAGATACCCAAACCATCTGTCACTGTGAACCACCAAGCACTGGAGAAGCTTACAGCGGCAGTCCGGAGCATGGAGGAGCTCTACAGCTTCAACAAGAATGAATGGAAGCGCAAAAGTGACCCCTTGCCTATAACTGACAGCCATGTCTTGTCCCTCATTGCCAGTGAGGAACGGGCCACTGGGACCGTGTCCAGTGCCAGGGAAGAGTCGACAGCCAGTGCCAAGGCAGAGTACCAGGTGGCAGGTCGCAGTGTGCGGCTGGCCACATCCCCCAACAGCAACGTCGCCGCGAACAGAACTGCACCAGAGCACCAGCCGCGTAGCAGGACTGCCAACCCAACGAAGAATGTAGAGAAGGTTTCGGCCAAGACAGCTGCCTTTGAGACCCTGGCACAAGCGCATGAGCGGCCGCGTGGGATGGGTTTCCGTGGGGAGGCGGCCACGGCAGGGGCTGTGGAGAGGGCCAGAGCTCCAGCAGTGCCCCGCAGCACTTTCACCTTAAACGCCCAAAAGGCCAAGCCTGCTCAGGAGCCCTCACCACCCCCACGAGGCCTCAAAGGCCAGGCTAGGCCTCGCTCCATTAAACTCTTTGGCGACAAGCTAGGCCCGGCAGAGCTTGACAAGGGGCCCAGGCAGGCGGCTCCCGACTGCGGGAACTACTTGGCCATCCCGCTCAAGGCTTCGTCTGAGGAGCAAGCCGCAGAAGCAGGAGGCGAAGGTGGCCGCTCGGGCCTCCCTTCTGCAGCTGCGGCAGCGGCCGCCCTGTGCAGCCACCACCAGTCCCTCAGGAGCCAAGCAGCCACCAACCCAGCCAAGGGGCAGCAGCAGCCCGGGCAGGAAAGCAGCAGCGGCGACCCCACCATTCCTCAGCCTCCTCCACTTCAGCAGCAACCCCAGACAACAGCGGCGGCGATGGCAGCACCTCAGCTCGAAGTGTCTCCTGCCCAAATCTTCCCTCAGGCCCTGTCCCTGGCTGCCGCAGCCGCCGCTCTGACGGGGGCCCAGGCCGCACCTTTGCTCTGCTTCTCGCCTCCCATGCCGGCCCCATTGCAAACCGCGGCCTCCGTCGCCGAGCCGGCTGCTTTCCCCCCTCCCCAGACGCAGCGCAAGGTGCTGCTGGACCTGAGCACGGGCCAGTGCTACGTGGTGGAGACGCCCGTACAGCAGCCCCCTCAAAAGAGGCGCCTCTTTGACCCCGAGACTGGACAGTATGTGGAGGTGCCCCTGCCAGCCCAGCTGCCTCCTCCTCCACCGGCAGTGACCCCCATGAGCCTCCCCATGTCCCCATTAGCCCTGGGCACACCACCGGGCACCTACAGTGCGCCCGCTGCAGCCTACATGATCTATCCGGGCTTCCTGCCCGCCGTCCTGCCCACCAGCGCCTTCCAGGGCACACTCGGCCAGCAGCCCAGCGAGCTCAGTTCTGCAGTGGCCGTCGCATCCAGAAGCACCACCAGCCCCGGGGCGGAGAGCCCTTATTACATGCCCACGGGCAAAGCTACCCTGCAGCAGCAGCAAGCACCTGCCGGAGAAGGGAAAGCGCCTCTCATCAGCATCACCTCGCAGCCCCTGGGCCCCAGGATCATCGCGCCGCCTTCCTTTGATGGCACCACCATGCGCTTCGTCGTGGAGCATCGGTGATCGAGGCAGCTGAAGGATGGCTGGTGCTGCGACGGGTGAGTTTTAAACAATGTATTTATTTACTTTATATTTTTTATCCTTCCCTTTCTCCTAGGACCTCAGCGTGGCAAACATTGGCCTCCCCTGCTCCATTGACCCTCACAACAACCCTGTGAGGTAGGTTAGGTTGGGAGCTTGACGGTTCCTGAGTCACCCATCAAGTTTCTTGGCAAAATGAGGATTTGATCCGAGGTCTCCCAGATCCTAGTCCCCTATGCTCTCACCACTACAGACAATAAACGTGGATTTCATATTAGTCAGACCCCCCCCCCCTCCATGTGTCAGTTTTTGCTTGGCACATAACATTTGAAGGAGGGTGGAAGATAAATATTCATACATTGTCACATATGAAGATTGCACTAGGATCTGTTTTGCGTGGTGTAGCTTATTTATTTAGGTATTTATAACTGACTTTTCTCCCCATTGGGGGCCCAAGGTAGCTTACATTATTTTGCTCTCCTCTATTTTATGCTTACAAAAACAACCCTGTGAGGTAGATTAGGCTAAGGGGGGTAACTGGCCCAGAGTCACCCAGTAAATATGTGCCCTTAGTTTGGTGTAGTGGTTAAGTGCGCGGACTCTAATCTGGGAGACTCTGGGAGAACCGGGTTTGATTCCCCACTCCTCCACTTGCACCTGGCTGGATGACCTTGGGCAAGCCATAGTTCTGATAAGAGCTGTTCTTGAAAAAAGAGCAGTTTCTGTCAGAGTTCTCTCAGCCCCACCTACCTCACAGGGTGTCTGTTGTGGAGAGGGGAAGGAAAAGGAGTTTCTAAGCCGCTCTGAGACACCTTAGGGTAGTGAAGGGCGGGGTGTAAATCCAATCTCTTCTTCTTCTTCTTCTTAGTGATTAATGTTGCTGAAGCATTTCCCACCACAAAATTCATTACTGTTGCATACTAGGTAACTTTCACCACTGGCATCGCTCATCTTAATGAGAGTGAGGGAAAGAAAGAGCATGTAGTGTGTTTCTGAAAGAAGCATACGTTGCAGGAGAAATTCTATGGAAGAGTGGATGTACAAATTCAACACTTCCAGTTCCTGAAGGCTGTTGTGGTCTCCCTCTGATTGCAAGGGTGAATTCTGACAAATATCTGATCCGGAAAACGCACTGGGGGGTGGGGGTGAGAAAAAAAGTGTTGCGTCTATGTGTGCATTTGCACTGAGTGGTCTGATATACAGTATTACAGGTAGGTGTTGAGAGTGCAGATCATCTCACCCTACATTTCAAATAAGTTGCCAGAGAGGCTGAGCTACTATCTCATTACTCATGTGTAACGTATGAGATAACACTCAGCCTTTTTGTGTGTGTGTGTGTGTGTGTGTGTGTAACTTTAACTGATAGGCAGAAATTCAGTAGGTAAAGCTACTGTCATCACCATAGCTGCATAATGGGGGAAACTGCTGTTAAAGGCACATGTCATGCTAGAATACACTGGGATTCCTAAAACTTTGCCCCCACCTAATTACCACTTCTGACTTCTGCTGGCAGGGCCATCATGGAGTACATGTTATGTCTTGGGCAAGCGGCAACTTCAGCAAAGAATCCTTCTGCAGCATATTGTGCTTTCTCTCATACTTGCAATTTAGTGTCCAGCCTTTCATAATGACAAATATCTGTGTGTGGGGGAATAAGCTTGAGAGCAGTAAATCTTTCATCTTAATGAGAGGCATACGCTATATTTGTGGTTACTCAAATAGCCTTGTCAGATTTCTGCATGGACTAGAACTGCAAACAAGTGTGACCTTCTATCTCTGTGGGCTTGCTGTGAGCTCAGTACATGATTTTAAATATCCGACACATTTAAATGTGTATTTTTTAAAAAATTAGTTGAATGTAGCCTTTATATCTCTGACTCTAATATGTTTTATTACAAGATTTGTTACAGGCAATTGTATGTAACTGAGGATGCAATCCTAAACATTTCTGCTTGGAAGTAAGTCCCATTTTAGTTAGTGGGGCTTACTTACTGCAAAAGCATTCTCAGAATTGCAGCCTGAGTTCCTTTTAAAAAAAAGTTAAAAGCATCTGACACACAGATTATAGTAACGGATGGTCAATGATGTTGATTGGGTAGCTGACTACCAGTGCTCCCTCTATGCTGTGGAGTCTTGTGAGCAAAAATTCTGTTTTGTGAGCTACCAGCATTAAAGTTGTGAGCAAACCATTTGGCTACTGCATAAATGAGTTTGCTCTGGAGCCATCCTTCCTGAGCTAAAGATGTGTGAGCCAGAGGCTGAAAAACTGTGAGCTAGCTCACGCTTACTCAGCTTAGAGGGAACACTGCTGACTACCACGTTTTACGGGTCTCTTCCACAGGAAAAATATGGTTTACACAGGGATTATTTTTGCCGGATTTGAGTAGTTGGAGAATGAGAGACAGAAAAATAGACTGTGGGGTCAATCTCGGTTGGCCAAAGAGGTTGCAAATGTTTGGAGTATTGTAAAAGAATTTTATATAGTTGGTTCTCAGCCTCAAAATAAATGTGGACAAAGTACATGTCAGATAAATAATGGCCGAATTACATAGGACAGGATCCAAAGAGCTGCTTAGGGTTAAGCAAAACTAGGACAGCAGAATTTTTTTAAAAATTGAACAGCTGATTCCATACCACAGATGGCTTTTGAGGGGTGCTGCATTTAGGAGAAAAAAGTTTAAAGCCATCTAGGGCTAACAGAAATTATTTTTCCATTCCTTTAGATGCTGGCGGCCATAGCATTTAGTACTTCTGCATAAAATACTACATTAACTACAAGTAATCGTAAGAATGAAAAAAATTACTGTAGACAAAAACAAGTAGTTGATCTCTGTTTCTGACTGGGGAAAGTGGTGTGATATGCATGTGTGTATATTCTAGTCCATGTAAAATTTCCATTGACCTCCAGAAGCCTAGATCCTTATGTTATAAAGGAGTTAACTATCTTTTTTCAAAGGCAGTGATTCCCCTAAATTCTTGTGCTAGCAAACAAATACCTCTGAGCCTCTGACTTATGCAAATATTACCAGTCATCAGGCAATTATTTACTGATAATTCTCAGCCTGTGTGCCTAAAAGTATTCACAGGTTCAGGGTCCCTAACTGCAGGGATTCTTGCTACATACCATCATTTAAAGTAGAAGTTAGCAGATTATTGCAATGGAGAGTTAGGAGCAGAGCTTCCCTATCAGTCAAGAGGCCTAAGAGACGGTGCTTTTCCGTAAGAGAGATAATGGCTGCGGACTCAGGGGTCATTTCCTGCAGGAGCGCACAGGAGCGGAGCTCCGGCAGTAAAGAGCCCAGGGGGCGGGCACATGCAACAAGCCCCACCCCAGCAGCGCTCAGTCAGAGCAAGAAGCAGCCAGGTAAGTTGCAGAGCCCCCCCCCTCTGGTCCCCCGGTCCAAAACAGTCCAGTGGCACCTTTAAGACCAAGTTTTGTTCAGGTACAAGCTCTCCCTCCTCTGCGAGGACAGATCTGCACATTCCCCCCCTGGCATATGCAAATAAGTTATGCTAATGAGTTATGCTAATGAGCTCCTGCACCTCTTTTTCTACAAAATGACCCCTGGCTGCGGTCAAAAACACTAAGTAATCCACTTTCAATGCACTTTCCAACTGGATTTTGCCAGTTTACACATGGAAAGTGCACTGAAAGTGGATTGAAAGTGGATTATTTATTTTGCGTGACCGCAGCCAATATCAACAACAAAGAGCAAAATGTTACTGATATTAGTGCTCGGTTGCCTAAACCTAGGGAGCTGCTGACTTGTGCTACTGAAACTGACACCATACTCCATAGCCCGCAAATGTGTTCTTATCATTTAGCTCTCCCACTTCTTGTTGAGAGCCACAGGAGACAGAATGGCAGCAGCTCTGTGAGTTTGAACATGGATTTCCAACACTCCCACAGAAAGGAGGGTGACGTTTTTCTCAGTGCCTGGACAGGCTCTTTCAGACTACCTGCCCCTTCCCCAAGCCACATTTCATGAGCAAAAGAGCCTGATGGTTCAGAAAAACCGAACCTCATTGCCTGCTCCCTGCAGTGCCTTTTTCTCAGTTATTCCATTATCAGGATCAAAAATGAAGGGAAAATGCCCAGGCAGAGGGACTGTAGGAAGGTAAGCTGCAGGTGGGTTCTGCACTCCTTATCACCATGCCTGTTCCGTTCCTTAGGGTGATCACTTAGTGCCACATGCCTTGCATGCAGAAAGGCCCTAGGCTTAATCCCCAGAATCTTCTGCTACAAGATCTCAGGTAGCAGAGCTGGAAAATCATCTGTCTAAGGGCAAAACTACTTGTGATTTATTTATCTGCAAACTACAGTTGCTGGGGCTGTGATTTACAACTGTTCCTGTGTGCGATTTACCCCTGCAAATAACCCCCAACTGCCGCTCACTTCTGTTGGGGGGGGGGGAATATGGGTACCTGTCCATTAAACCCAGTGAGAGTCAAAATAACTCAGAGGTGGTAATATGGAGGGTGGCAGTGGCGGCACAGGAAGAGAAGTTTTAAAGCCCTTCTGTCTCCCAACCCTCTCTATTCTGCCACTAGAAAGTGTAGTAGGTACAATGTGTAATAGGAAAAAAAGTTATTTAATGTAAACATGGGAATGTACATAATGTAGAGAACCAGATGCACTGTTGTTTAAAAATGCATTTAAAAGTGACTTTTATGGATTTATGGGGTAAACCAGAAATTGTAAGGCACTGTGTACTATGAAATGTGTTATATGCATGCTTGATAATCAGGGCACTATTGTAAGATGCTTTCTAGCAATCTTTCTGCAGTAAATTGAGAAGTTAATTAGTGTGTTTGCTTTATTTTACAGGCACAAAGCGCAAGAATTTTTCTCCCTTAATCTGAAAATAACTTGGTAATGCTAAACTCTCATTTTCATTGCTGCTTTTGCTTTCTCATGTATTTTTCAGGCATTGCTTTGTACAAAAACAAGTGTGAATGTTTTTCATGTTTGCATAATGCCCTATGTTTTGGAATTATGCATAAATTTAATTATGCACATGTGGATTAATAAATTATGGTATTTTCTGTAAAGATTTTTTTATATAATGCAGAAACCTGGCAATACTCTTTGTACCTACATTATATGGTTAGGAACCTGAATACATGTTTTGTGCAAATCAGTGTAAAGAAGTGCTGATTACCATTCTTTTAGAAAAACAACTTTGTGAATGAACATTGGAGTGGGAGAAGAAAGTATGCTTAATCCTTTTCCCACTCCAGGTCATGCCCCTCTCAACTATGTTTTCCCTGTCAGAGTTCTAGATGTATGTTTACACACTTCTGGAACCCCAAGGGAGGGGAAACAGATGCAAGGGAAAAGGTTAAGTACACACTCATCCTTCACCATTTCTTCATCCTTCCCCAAACTATTTTTTTTTAAAATAAAGCATCCATTTGTGTGTAATGTGTGGTTTGCCGTTAAGATTAACTGGCTATGTTTTATAGATGCCACTCCATTGCCTACTGAAAAAAAATATATAAAGATGGCATGCCATAAATTTAAATTTAGTTCGGTTTCTTTGCAAACATTCAGGATTTGCAGGTAATAACCAGTGCACTGACATTACACTTAAAGAATGGGTGGTCCTAAATCAATTCCCATTGAAGTTATTTGTAGTCTTGGAATAATCTTCAGAAGCACTTTACTCAGCCACCTTCACACTGCCTAGGTTCCAATCTAGCTAAAATTAGTCATATCTAAGTTGCACTGAAAACATGTGTCATAACTAACTTTCCCTTGTTCTGTATGCAATTTAGGGCTTACCTACACACTACGTGTTTGGAGATCCATGATCAAATTTCCTGACATGATTTTACCTGTAAAAAGCAGCAGGGGAAGAGTTCGGTTGGGGCCATAGTTGTTAGTTAACCCCTTTCTCCTGATATCATTTTCCACATAGAAATTGCTCCCCTGACTTCAAACTACTCCAGCAGGAAAAAAGACAGGTACCTGTAGTATACCTGTCTTTTTTTCCTTTGTAGAGCAGCTAACAGATATTACGTGGCGTGGCTCCCTTCCGGTTGTTTTGGGAAATGGAGAAAGAGTGGAAAGGTTTTATCCCTTCCCCCTCCCAGCATTGCAGCTGTGGTCCAAATCAGGCTACCCCAAAGTTTTTTTTTTTTTTAAGGCAAAACCAAAAAGCTGAACTATCTGATCATGGATCTCGTCCATAATATGTAGTTAGATTCTTGAGCATGACTAAATTTAGCAGGACAGAGGCCCTAATCTTTAGTTTACCTTCATTTGTATTTCTGTAATAATTTCAGGTCTTGTTGTGGAAATGACTGAAAGCTTGGTTTGGGTGTTCTGAAAATTTAAAATAAGCTTCTCTGTACTGTCTTGTAACATCACCAGGAGCCTTGACTGCCATGTTTGTTTGTCTTTTAATGTTAGAAAGATGTAAAAGGAAAGTAATCTTTGAAATTTCCATCTTCTTTACTGGCAGGGCTCCCTGTGCCTTTAATAGCTCTATGAGAGACAGAAATCCAACAGATGAATTTTATCACTGTATATTGAGGGGGGAAAGATGTATACCTGTTAAATAGCTGACTATTGTTCAGGTGCCCCAAAGAAGTTAACTCTAGTTTTGAAACTCTTATACACAGAAGAGGATAATGTTTCCTTTCCTTTCATTTGGAAGGTTTTAATTATAGCTCCCCTCTTACCCCAGCAAATGTACGAATTTGGGGAGAATTTCCTAAGGAAGTACTTTGTGAATAGTAACCCAGTCTATGTATGTTTGGCATCAGGATGAGGTTTAAATATTCACCTCAAAGTTCTATCAAGGGAGAATTAACACCTTGGTGAGCTTTAGAAATTGAGAGGTATTGTAGGAAGTTTACTAGGTGGGAGGGCTGTTACTGTCACTTCACTTGCAATGCACCCCTGTGCAGAGTTGCTGCAGTCTAAGCCCATTGAAACCAGTGGGTTTAGACTGGAGTAAGCCTGCATAGGATAGCACTGTAAGGAAGTCACATCCACAGAGGAACATCCTGAGCTCCCAGTTTGCTAGCTTAGTGACAGATGACTCGTGCAAGTTGCAGGACCCCAAACAGATTGCACAGGGGTTTTCACATCCTTCTTCTGTGTTATTGATGCTGACCATAAAATTTCCCCAGCTTGCCCTGGTTTGGAATTTTGGAGAATAGCAGGTAGAGTTTGACTTATGCAATGGGGCTTTCCTGTCTCCTCGTTCCTTCTCTAGCCCCTTGTTTCCTTCTCCTCAGAAAGCAATCCTGAGGGTTATGGGACTCTCCAGAACAGTGTGGGACATGGCAAAGGGGCTACAGCTGAAAAGAACAGAAGTGCTCCTTTCAGCTTGTCTGCTGTGTACAGATGCTGTGTAGATTGCAGAGACTGCATGCGCTCTGTCAGATTTGCTGACCTAACTCACCCCTTCTCCCCCAACAAAACCACCGTAGAGGAATGTCTCTGTTGCACTGAAGTCAGTACAGTTCTCTTCCTTAGTCAGGGTGAGCTTGCCAGTGCCACTTTCCCCTTATGTAGTCTACTGTTTGCCTGTTGCAATTTTAATGCTGTTGCCGCTGAAATGAATCTGGATATTCCTATTCAGGCAGAAACATCTGAGGAATTTTGAGAGAAGCAAAACTATTTTCACAACTCTTGCAGAATTTCTCAGGGAGATCTCACACATTCTTAGACATCAGCAAAGCTCATTGTCATTGTGTGTTATCATATTTTTCTGTAAACCCAGGTAAACTTCATTTGTTAATGTGCATTATGCTGCTGTGAGGAAGATATAACAGAAATTGAAGCTAGGGACACACAGATCCTGTACAAGGAAATTATGCTGTATACAGACATGAAAGGATGTCTGTATACAGCTCTCGTTGAGGCCGTTGTTGTGTAGTATGCTGGAAGCCGTGATCTTAAAAGAGAAGTTTTTTATTTAGTATGACCTGGGGGGAAAGTGAATTTGCTCTTTGCTCTATCAGTCTTTAATATACACATGACGTGGATAAATAGGCTGGCACTAAGAGGAGTGCCTTCTTTTGATTACATCTTGCTCATAAGCAGGACCCTTATGTAGGCTGCAGATAGAGCCACACTGATCCATGCAACTGTAATGTCCAAGTTGGACTACGGTAATATGGTTTGTGTGGGGCTGCCTTTGAAAACATCTAGAGAGCTTTAATTGGCACAAAATGCAGTCGTGAGATTCTTATCTGGGGTCAGTCACTTGGAACATATCAGGCTGGTGCTACTTTAATTGCACAGTTTACATATTTGCTTCCAGGCCCAATACCTTTAAAGCCCTTCATGACCTAGGGCCCTCATACTTATAGACTCGGATCTCCTGGTAGACTTCCACACACACCAGTTACGCTTCTCAGACTGGATCCTCCTTGCTGTGTTCTGTTTTAGGATTGTTCTCATGGCAACATCTAGGTTGCAGGCTTTCTCTCTGGTGAGTCCAGTACTCTGAAATGGCCTACCTAAGTGGATGTGGAGGGTACCTTCAATGGTTGCATTTACAAAGGCATCCAAGACCTGTTTCAGAGGACATTTGGTGCATGATAATTTTTTTTGGCAGATTTGGCTGTATTTTTTAATCTCTGTGTTGCTTTTATTTTGTTAATGGGGTCCTGTGTTCTGGGGTCCTTGCAACTTAATGTTGTTAGCCGCCTTGAGCCTAAGACAATAATGTGAGATATAAATATTTTTTAAAAATAAGTAAATGATGAAGGCACTTCAGAACTAAGGGCATAATTCAGACCAGTGACACACTGCCTTGATAAATGTCCATTCCAGCAGCCAAAGGCCTGGCAAACCCAAGACATGTCTGGCATACTGCAATATTTAATAGCATTTCATATATCTGGTAGGAGGAATCACAGGAGCCAGCAGCCAGTCAGAGCAGCATGAGAAACGGGAGCACAGTATCTGGACTCCAAAACAAAGTGGCACCTTTAAGACCAATAAAGTTTTATTCCTGGTATAAGCTTTTGTGTGCACACACACTTCAGTATAGTGTACGCACACACAAAAGGTTATACAAGCAATAAAACTTTGTTGATAAAGGTGCCACTTGACTTAAACTTTGTTTTGCTGTTTCAGACCAACACGGCTACCCACCCGAATCCAACTGGACTCCAGTTAGCCTGTGGTATGGTATGCCAGGGTGGCTTGTTAGCCATCAACATGGGTTTATAGTTCATACCCTTAGATAAAATAGTCATGCCTCATTTCTAACTCAGATATACATCCAAAATAAACTATGGCATTCTTCCGAGTATGAGTTTTATCCATTTCTCCTATGTCATTGATTTTTTTATATAAAGTGCGTTTTGACAAACTCTAATCGATATAATTCTTGAGCACCAATCCAGCAACCTTCACTGGGAATTAAGAGTGCCCAGTCCTGTTCACTAGATTGTGGGCTTCTTCTGAAGCTCTGCATACTGGACGAGATGGGGCATTTGATCCGCCACAGTGTGAAGCATGTTCATGCATGCCTCCTACTTTAATTATCAACCAGATTATCACCATGGCTGTAGGTCATTTGCATTTCATTCATTGGAAAGTGAAGATTTCCAGCATTAAATATAGGAGGGACATTACTCATCTGCTTACCCCAGAAAGTAGTGGTAATGGTAGGTGGAAGAATAATAACAAGTATCATGAAATGTTCTGGAAGCTTGAAAATGTGGTTGCAAATCCACCTTCTTTCAGTCTATTTAAAAACTGGATTCCTGCACAGTTAGAACTGCAGTGTAGTCATTCACATGTGGTTACAAATAGGCTCAGAGGGCTTTTAGTGGCATGTGTGAAAAAGCTTTAAGACCGTTCCCTGTTCCTATTAAATATACTGCAAGCATATATCTAAGAGCACATTTCCCCCTGCTACTGTATGAAGAGAAATCATACTAACTATGACTAGTGTAAACATGTAGTCTGCCAGTTTCAGCCCCCATTCAATCCTATAATTTTATTTTTCCCCTAGCTTTTAAAAGAAAA